TTGCTATATTTTCCTCTGTGTGCCTTAAGGCCTCTTGCCATTCACATATCCCATTGTGTTCCAACAAATGCTATGCCTTCACACTTCCAGCCACATAGCCCCAGAACACTTGTTACTGTGTCCTCCCAGGGGAGATAACTATTATCATTCCAATAGGTCCCAGGAACCTGAGACACTCCCCAGAGAGAGCTTTACCGGGCCTCCGGTCTTACCGAGACACTCCCTCAGAGAGATTACGTGCCTCAAGTCATACTACCACCCCCCCTGCATCAGCCTCCAACCCTGTTAGTTAGGAGGGAGTGCCTCGTTCCTCTTCATTGTTCAAAGACTAATTACACACAGATACTGATTTCTTTTTTCTTATTTTTCCTACATTTCTTTTTAAGTTTAATCACAATAGCATGCCCCACTACCAATAATTTTTCTTTTGAAAATATTTTAAATGTGCTTCTCACATATGCAGACAGTTCCTTACTTGCGATGGTTCGATTTACGATTTTTCACTTTATGATGGTGCGAAAGTGATATGCATAATAAATTGCATGAGATTTTCAACACTATTATAAAATAGGTTTTGTGGTAGATGATTTTGCCCAACTGTAGGCTAATGTAAGTGTCCTGAGCATGTTTAAGGTAGGACAGGCTAAGCTCTGATGTTCAGTAGGTTAGGTGTATTACATGCATTTTTGACTTAACGATATTTTCAACTTATGATGTGTTTATTAGGGCATGACCCCATTGTAAGTCAAGGAGAATCTGTAGGTATTCATATTTCCCTTTATTTTTTGGGGAAACAGAAAACTCTTGTTTCAATCACAAGTAGCTGTTTGATAGCATTTTCCCTCCTCACGGGCTCCCGGACCTTTTTCTTCCTTCCCACTGAACCTCAGGAATGATGTCTAGGTAAGTGCCAAGCCAAAGAAGCAGGAAATATTTAAATTGTGCTCTCCAGGCCATTTCTTATAAGTGTGGAGAATAGCTTCTTGTTTAAGAATGTGGTTTGATTTGTTAAGGTTGCCCTTTTCTCCTGAAGTCCACCACATTTTGTTTATTTATACATTTTTTTAAAGCATGTAAACACCTTATACAAATGCAACATTTTGCAATTATCTTTTATTTATCCAGAGAACATGTTGGAGCATATTCAGCTAGCCAACAGGGGCTTCTCTATAGCCAAGATAGATGCTGAAAACTCTGTGACTCACTCATGAGAGCCCCTCGGTTTCCACAAGCTGCCTATTTTGTCACTGAGACTTGTTTGCTATGGGTTTACAAGCTTACAAAAATATCACTTTAACTTTGAAAATATAATGAACTCTTTCAACCACACAGAAAGTAATAAACAGGTTGCTATGTGCTCAACACTAAGATTTAACACATGTAAAGATTTTTGCCAACATAAAAATTTAGAAGAACTTAGAGCCAGCAGGAGTAAAAGATAAAGCAGGATATGGAGGAAAGAGGTTGGAGGCATTCACCCTAACATGAGCAAGAAGCTAAAAGAAGAGATAGAAGCTCTAAAGCAGATGTAGGGACTAAAAATTCATAACTGTCTGGGACCACTGGGATCAGAGGCTATTGTTAATAATTCTGCAATGGACATATGGATGCATATGTCTTTTTGAATTACTGTTTCGTGTTTCTTTGGATAAACACCAAGAAATGAAGTTGCTGGGTCCTTCTTGTCTCTTATTATAGCCTTTGTTTTAAAGTCTATTTTGTCTAGTATAAGTATTGCTACTCCAGCTTTCTTTTTTTTTTTTTAATTTCCATTTTCACGAAATATCGTTTTCCATCCCTTTACTTTCAGTCTGTGTGTCTTTCGATCTGAAGTGAGTCTCTTGTAGGTAACATATGTCAAGGATCTTGTTTTCTTATCCATTCAGCCACCCCTAAGTCTTTTGATTAGAACATTTAATTTATTTATATTTTAAGTAATTGTTGATAGATATGTAGCTACTGCCTGTTTATTATTCATATTTTTTAAAATCTTTTTTCTTCTTCTTCTTAAAGAAGTCCCTTTAACATTTCTTGTAATACTGGTTTGGTGGTGATGAACTACTTAAGATTTTTCTTGTCTAGGAAGTTCTTTATCTGTTCTTTGATTCTAGATGATAGCTTTGCTGGGGAAAGTAATCTTGGTTGTAGGTCCTTGTTTTTCATCGTTTTGAATATTTTGTGCCAGTCTCTTCTGGCCTGCAAAGTTTCTGTTGAGAAATCAGCTGACAGTCTTATGGGAGCTCCCTTGTAGGTAACTAACTTCTTTTCTCTTGCTCCTTTTAAGGGTCTCTCTTGTTTTTAACCTTTGGCATTTTAATTATAATGTGTCTTGGTGTGGGCCTCTTTGGGTTCATCTTGTTTGGAACTCTCTGCACTGTCTGGGCTTTTATGCTTATTTCTTTTGTCAGTTAGGGAAGTTTTCCCTCATTATTTCTTCAAATAAGTTTTCAATTCCTTGCTCTCTCTCTCCTCCTTCTGGTACCCCTATGATGTGAATGCTGGTATGCTTGATGTTGTCCCAGAGGCCCCTTAAACTCTCATTTTTTTGGATTCTCTTTTTTGCTATTCTAATTGGGTGTTTTCCACTATCTCATCTTCCAATTAATGATTCAATCTCTGCTTCATCTAACCTATTGTTGATTCCTTCTAATGTAGTCTTCCTTTTAGTTATTGCATTCTTTAGTTCTGACTGGTTCTGTTTTATTTTTTCTATCTTCATATTTATGTTTCCTATCTTTGTTGAAGTTCTCACTGAGATCATTGAGCATCCTTATAACCAGTGTTTTGAACTCTGCATCCGGTAGATTGCTTGTCTCTGTTTTGTTTAGTTCTTTTTCTGGAACTTTGTTCCATTCTTTTACTTGGGACATGTTTGTTTCCCTATTTTGTCTGCCTCCCTGTGTTTGTTTCAATGTATTAGGTAGAGCTGCTACGTCTCCCGGTCTTGGTAGAGTGGCCTTATGTAGTAGGTGTCCTGTGGGATTCAGTGGCACAGTCTCTCTGGTCACCTGAACTGGGTGCTCAAGGTGTGTCCCTTGTGTGGGTTGTGTGTGCCCTCATGTTGTAGTTGAGCTTTGATTGCTGTTGGCATGTCAGTGGGAAGGATTGACCCTTAGGCAGATTGGCTGTGAGGACTGGCCATGACTACAATGGAGGAGCTGCTGTGCAGGGACTGACCCTATAGAGGATTTACTTTAGAGGGGTTTTGGTGCCTGCCCAGTCTTTGGTGTGTCATTTGTGGAGGTGGTTGGGTACTGCTCTGGTGTGGTCTGAAGCTGGCCACTGGTGTGTTGGTTTTGGGGCCTCTTGGGAGGGACTCTGGTACAGGCCAAACTTAGCTGCTGCCTGTGCCCCTGGGGCCACTTAGTATGAACCACAAAGTGATCTGCAGATGGTTGCCACTAGTGCTGGGCTTAGGGCTGCTTAGCAAGAGATACAGGACATGCCAAGGCCAGATGCTTCTTGTTTGGGGTTTGTGAACCATTGAGAGATTTTAGGAAAGTCTTCAGCATGAGCCAAGATAGGCTGTTTGTACAGAAAAGCCACTGAAAGTGGCTTAGATGGGCCCACAAGTTGAGTGGGGCAGGGTGTCAGGGAATCACCAGGACGAGGTGAATGGTGTTATGTTAGCTGGGTGGATGGACACTCAGATATGATGCTTGCCTGTGCCTGTGCTTGCATGCTATTTGGGGGAAGGGCTCAACAAAGAAACAAAACAGCAAAGAGAGCCACTCCTGCAGCCCTTACCCTGGAGCCAGACAATTCAGTGCCTCCCTATAAGTCCCTGGCACCTTTTAAGCTGCTGCCCCAACTCTGAAGCTCAAAGCAATTGAGTCCATCAGTGAGTAAGTCCATGTGCAGGCCTTTTAAGAGGAATGCTGGGACTCCAGGAACCCTCTGTTTCACTCAGCCACAGTCTCCACTGGTTTTCACAGCCAGAAGTTATGGGAGTTCTCTCCCTAGTACTGGAATCCTGGGCTGGGGAGCCCAGTGTGGGGTTAGGGCTCCTCACTCCCCAGGGAGGGCCTCCGCAGCTGAGATAGCTCTTCTGATTTTTAACCGCCACATGTGTGTGTGGGGCCAACCCTTTCCACCTCTCCATCCTTCCTACTAGTCTCGCTATGGCTTCTTCTGCATATCCTTAGTTATAGGACTTCTGTTCAGCTAGACTTCAGGTGGCTCTCCATGATGGTTTTTCTGCAGTTTAGTTGTAATTCTGAGGTGGTTATGGGAGGAGGTGAGTACAGCGTTTATCTACTCCATCATCTTGAATGGAAGTTTGGATATACTCTTGCCTATTTAAAATTTTTGCATATACAGTAAAACCTTGGATTGTGAGTAACGTGGTTTGTGAGTGTTCCGCAAGATGAGGAAACATTTCTAATACATTTTTAACGTGGTAAATGAACGATGTCTTGCGATACGAGTAGTTTGTTTCCAGAACAAATTATCTTTGCAAACCAAGGTATTATTGTATTTCTAATCCTTAGTCTGCCTTTTTGTCAATCTAAAACATTTATACAAAGAAACTAGATCATATGATCAAAAATTTAGTTTTGGATGAGTAAAGTTTGAGACATCTAGGAAGTATCTATAAGGAGATGTCAATGGGGATACCCTCCCCATTGGATTATGTGGGTCTGGCATTTGGAAGTAAGTTCCGGGCTTTATATCTGGAGATATAAATTTTGGAGTCCCTGCAATGCAGGTAACATTTCAGTGAAAGGGTGAATGAGATCACCCACAGAGAGTGCAGAGGGAGAAAAAGTCTTAGGACTGAGCCTGAGAAGCTCCAAAGTTTTTTCCACAAGTTGGGGAAAAAGAAGATGCCAGAAAACAGCCCAAGAAGGAACTGTGGAGAGGCAGGGAAGAGGGGAGAAGCAGAAGCCAAGAGAAAAGGGTTTCATGGAAGGGAGTGTTCAGTGTGTCAAAAAACTCTTTATCTTGTGATAATTTTTAAAACCTTCAAAAACCGCATTCTCCCTTTCTTCTCTCTCTAGCCATCATTGTATACAGACTGCCATGGACCTGGAAATGCAGCAAGCTCCTGATGAAGTCCATCCACGCAGGGTTAAACACCATTGCTGCCATTCTTGCAATTATTTCTCTTGTGGCTGCTTTTGATTTCCACAATGCTTCCCATATCCCCAATATGTACAGTCTACATAGCTGGGTTGGAATGATAGCTGTCATACTCTATATCTCACAGGTAAGTGTCTCAGTATATTTATAAATAAGATACACAAAACAATTCAGGTTCTGTAGATGTTTTCTATACATTAATAGTTTGTTGGAAATCATCTTCTCATTCCCACTAGTCTTTGTTCCACTTGTTTCCATTGTTAAGTATTTTTCCCTGAGGAGGTACAGAATTTGTAATCTATGAGCTTGAATGTGAGATTTTAATTATGGGCATATGTATGTAGGGAAATTGTTATCTGATAACATCTAGGCTGCCATTGTTGGGACTTTAAGTTTCATGTGCTGAATAAATTAGCATAGACAAGAGCTGTAGATTTCTTTCCCACATTCTGTCACTTCTATTTTCTAGATTTAACTTTATGAGTGAAGAGATGAGTTCATATCTCTTTGTTTCTTTAGATTTTGAAGGCTCGGTGTTTATTTTTCCTCTTTCTTCCCTTCACTTACTAAAAACACATACTCTTGAGAGCCCAGTACTTACACATAAGTTAATAGAGTGTGATAGAGATTTGGCTGTTCTAAGTCACTAAAATAAAGGTGAATTTTAAAAGTCTTTTTGGCATTAACCACTTTGTTGAAAAATCTTTGTAAACTATGTTGATTTACTTCCCTCCTTTAGTAAATACAGTATATATCCAACTACTTAATTGGGACATCATTGTGAACTTTACTTTTCTGTAGAGAGAGGATAAGTAAGAAACTGGAGAGATTCCACAAAATCAAGAGGCATATCTTAAAATATATGAATGTATGACCTCTCAAAAAAAGGACCTCATACCAGACATTTGTTATTTTTATTCTTAAAGAAAAACTTTTTGAATGTTAATCAAATAAAACTTAATGCCTGGGGCTGCAGTTAGCTCAGTTGGTGAGAGTGCAGTCCTCATAACACCAAGGTTGCCAATTCGATCCCCACATGGGCCACTGAGTTGCACCCTCCACAACTAGATTGAAACAACTACTTGACTTGGAGCTGATGGGTCCTGGAAAAACACACTGTTACCCAATACAATTAAAAAAAAAAGTTAATGTCTGTATGGACACTATTAATTATTTAAGTTTTCATTGTCATACCTGGAAGTAAGGATTGGGTGCCAGATAGGAAGGAAGCACAGAGAATACCCTGTATCAAACATGGTCTTCCTGATCAAGAAGGAACAAGGAAAGTATTTCTAAGTGATCTATCTCAGCTCTCTTGTCCTCAAGGTTGATTTTCTTTCAGTGTTCTCAGCCATTGCCTCACATCCGGGAGGCAGTTTCCTGTAGTGCCTGCCACCAGCTGGTGGAGCCTCTCCCCTTACAGAGTAGGATGGCAACAGCAGGGGCCTTGGAAATGCTTTCAGGGGCTTTGGGGATGCTCTTGACTTCCTGGCATCTCTCCAGGACTTTTCTCAGCTGTCTCTTCTGCTTTCAGTGGTCTGTTCCTCTGGCTTTGCTCCACTTCCTTTGTGCTGCCTCAGAATGCAGAATTCTAGATCCTGGGTACTATGTGAGGCATTCTACTCATCTCACATAGTCCTTTTTTTTTTTTTTTAAAGATTTTTATTGGGAAATTGGGGGGATGGGAACAGTGCTGGGGAATTGGGGAAAGGGGAACAGACAAGTTGCTGTCGTTTTGTTCTTCAGTCTAGTTGTGGAGGACGTTGCTTCACTGGCCCAAGTTGGCACCATCATTGCGCTCTTCTCTGGCGAGGCAGATCAGTCGCCGGCTTCTGGACGGCCGCTCACTGCGGCTGCTGGCCGCTCACGCTGGCTGCTGGCCACACACGGTAGCCCATGGCAATCCACTGCCACAGGGACTGCAGCCCACGCCGTCGCCGGCGACTCATGGCAGCCCAGCTCCAGGTTGAGCTGTTGTTCAGCATCTTAGCTGTGGAGGGCAGTGTCACTGGCCCTCATATGTGGGATCCGAACCGGGGCCCTCTGGCATCCCAAGCGAGTTCTTAACCATCGCGCCACTCGGCCGGCCCTCACATAGTCCTTTAAGTGAGACAACCTTTATAGATGCTGAGGACACACAGGTTACACAGCTAATGGCAGAGCTGGGACTTGGGCCCAGGTCTGCCCAAGTCCTCGGCTCACTCCACAAGCCCTTGGTTCCATTGTTTCCACAATGTCCCCACAATCACTCAGCCTGTGTTTGAGCATTCTCAGTTGAGGGCCATGTCTCTGAGGAACAGAACGGAAACAACCCAAACTCTTTGTAGCTTCCCTGTGATAGGGTTCTGTGCCTCTAAGTACAGCAGTTAAGATGGACTAAATAAATGCCTTTACTGAGTTACTTATATGCCAAGGCATTCTTTGAGCATCTGGAAAGATATACACTTGAATGTTACTGTTGATCTCTAGGTGGCTGGATTCCACTTGATTATTTTTCTTTTTTACTTCCTATATCTTCTAAACACACATGCATTTCTTGTATAATAATAATATTTTAAAGCTAATTTTAAAAAAAGCTTTCTATACCATATATGCCTTTTTATTATTAAATTTATGCCTTTTAATCTGGATTCTCTAAAAACCAATTTATACTCTGCTCTATATCTTACTATGTAAAGTTAAGAAATATCTAGGAATTAGCAAAAAAGAGAATACTTATTCTAAAGCCTATGAGTCTTAGTTAAGATGGTCCTCATGGAATATAGGTTTAAATACTATCTTTTGGAAAGAAAACTTAAAAAGCTTAAGCTTAGTATTCACTTAAAAAACTAAAAGGGAACAGCAAAATAAAACAGGAAAAGTAAATAAAGACACTCCGCCCCACCCCCAACACACATGCAAAGCCATGAACAGTGGTGTTAGTTTTCTATTGTTGCCGTAACAAATTACCAAAAACTGAGTGGCTTAGAACAACACAAATTTATTACCTCACAGTTTCTGTACCTCAGGAGTCCAGGTTGACTTGGCTGGTTCCTCTGCTCTGGGTTGCACAAGGCCAAAATCAAGGTGTTGGCAGGCCTGGGCGCTTATGGGTAGACTTTGCGGGTAGAGTCAGCTTGCAAGCTAATGCAGGTAATTTGCAGAATCCAGTTCCTTGTGGTTGTAAGACTGAGGTACCTGTTTCCTTGGTGGCTGTCAGCTACGGGTTATCCTCTCCATGTTCCCTGAACATGGCCCCTCCATCTCAGAGCCAGCAGTGGTGCACTGAATCCATCTCACTGGCTTTGAGCCTCTCTGACTTCTTCTTCCTTCTCATTTCTTCTCCTCCAGCCAGAGAACGTTCTCTGCTTTTGAAATCAAGGGCTCATGTGATTAGATTGGGCTGGTCAGACAATAGCTGGTCAGACAATCCAGAGTTGTCTCCCAATCATAAGATCCCTAACCTTAATTACATTTGCAAACTGTCTTGCCAGTAACATAACATGTTCACAGCTTCCAGGGATTATGGTATGGACATCTTTTGGGAAGGGGAAGGCCTTGATTTAGCCTACCACAACTATAAATAAATGATAGAAGAAATTATAAATGAAATTAGAAGCTGATTCTTTAAAAAACTAAAATAAAATAGATAAACCATTGTAAACCTGATTGAAAAAAATCAAAATTGGGTCGGCCGAGTGGCTCAGTTGGTTAAGAGCTCTCTCAAGGTTTGAGCTCTGAGCAACAGCAGTTCGATTCCCAGCCCGAGCTGAGCAGCCGCTGAGCTGCCAACAGATGGCAGGATGGCTCAGCTTAAAAAAAAAAAAAAAATATATAATATACAACATTCAGAATGGAAAAAAATATAATCATAGATACAAACAATACTTTAAAATTAGGACAAATGATTAAATTGTAATATATGGGAATATACTTAAAAATCTTAAGTAGGTTTTTTTTTTTATTTATTTAAAGAAATTTTATTTGGGAATAGTGTGTTTTTCCAGGACCCATCAGCTCCAAGTCAAGTAGTTTTCTTCAATCTAGTTGTGGAGGGTGCAGCTCCTTGGCTCATGTGGGAATCGAACCGGCAACCTTAGTGTTATGAGCCTGCGTTCTAACCACCTGAGCTAACTGGCTGCCCCTTAAGTAGATTTTTAAGATCAAATTTGACCCAAGAAAAATTAGAAAAACTAAACAGACAAATAACATTAGAAGAAGCTGGTAAGGTAATTTGAAATCTATCCCTAAAAAGGCCATCCGATTCTCATTGTTTTATACCTTTGACCTTCAAGGAACAGATACTGTAAAGTATTCCAGTACACTGGGAGAAAACAAACTGCTCTTAGATGTGGCCCCATTTTGCGCTACACACTTCCACATCTCAGGTGGTGGCTCTGATAATAAACACCGTTACCATTGGCCGAGTGACTCAGTTGGTTAAGAGCTTGCTCAAGAGTGCGAGCTCTGAGCAACAGTGGTTCGAATCCCAGCCCGAGCTGAGCTGTCACTGAGCTGCCACTGAGCTGCCAACAGGTGGCAGGGTGGCTCAGCTAAAAATAAAATAAAAAACAAAATAAACACCTTTACCAACATCAACCATCAGCTTAAACTGAAATACTGAAGACATTTCCATTAAAAAAAGTAAATAAGACATTGATGCTTGCTACCATCATCATTCTATGTTGTTTTAAGGGTTTTAGCTAATGTACAAGATAATGAGAAAAAAAAAATCTGTATAAATAAGAGAGAATTTGTGACTTTTTTGTGTTTGCAGATCATATAATATATTTCTAAAAACCTAGGAGACAACTAGAAGTAATAAGAGAATTTGGAAAAGCGACTGGATATAAGATTGCCATGCATAATTCAATAGCTTTTGCCTATACTAGAATAACAACTTAGAATAAGAAGTAGAATCCATTAATAAAATATGGATTAGAAAAACCTATAAAATACTTAGGAATAAACTGAACAATGAGAGTATAAGATCTATATGTAGAATATGTAAAATATTATAAAATCTTATTAAAAACAGAAAATTTGGTATGATTAGAGAGATATGTTACTGAAAGAGACAAATTAATATAGAAATATCTTTCCCTCTTCAACTAATATTAATGCTTAATAAGACTTTAATTTTAAGCC